AATATGAAAAAAAAAAAAAAAAAAAGTGAGGGGAGAAAGATGCTCTGCTTTCAGGCTGCTCCGAATTCAACCAGTGACCTTGTCCTGCCCTGGGTGAAGAAGTAAGGGCTGGGGGTGACATGGTCTGAAGGGGCTTTCAGACCCTGGCCCACAGGCTCAGTCAGCTGCTCTGCTGGCCAGCGGGAGCCCTTGAGAGCTGCCTGCTGCAAAAGCTGGAGAAATGATGCTCAATAGCCCCAAAACCTCCACGGAAGATGGAAAAACTGTTTTCAGTTGCTACTATCTTGTGAGGATGAGCCAGAAAAGAAATGTGAGCATCGAGCGCTGCAGGTAAGATCCTCAGAGGATGCTTCATTCCTTGGTTTAAGCCAACCACTAGTGTCAGGGTGAAGGCTCCTGGGGCAGCTTATCTCACATCTGCCCCCTGTGAGACGCCTTGCGGGCACTGAGGCAGTCGGCATGGGGACGAGGATCCCGGGAAGGCTGAGCAGGATTGGCTCTGGGCTCCCCATGGCCTCAGCCTGATGCTCCCAGGTGACCCCAGGGATGGAGGGACCACAGCTCCATCCACAGTAGAGATGCACCTCAAGCTGTCTCAGCTTTCCGGGAAGAGAGAAGTTTTGAAAGGAAAAATACTTTGTTCCTTGCATCCCTTTTTGGATATACAGGATCTTTGCCCTGGTGGTTTTCCAACACATTCAATGCCAAGGGCTTGTCAGTGGCCAAAGGTTTGACTGCAGAGATGACCAGGTGCCTTGGCTTGACTTGGTATCTATTTATCCAGCTTGGAGCAGGGCAGTGACAACTTGCCTTTGAAGTGGATGGAGATGGAGGAATGACTCATGTTCAGCATCAGACAAGAAGGGATGTGCTAGGGGCATTGCTACCTAAATTCAGCCCACTCATAAGTAAAGGGAGACTTTCCTGAGTTTATCAGAAAATTCCCCACATGGCTGAATCTGAGAAAAAGCCAAGTCACCATCAAACTGGTGAAACAGCAAAACCAAGGCTGTTTCAGTGGCCTGGGGTGGGCAAGGACTAACTGAGGGTGCAGATTACATGACTGCAAGTCAGTGGTTATGGCATCATCCTGCTCAGCATGGGAGATACCCTAGTTGGAGAACAGCTTGCTCGCTTCTACAGGCAGGAAAAGTTGTGGGAAGGATTCGGCACAAGTACCCCCATGAACCACGGTATGAAGCCATGCCACAAACAATGAATATGCCTTGGAAAAATGGTCTCTAATGGCTATATTGCAACTTGCGAAGAAACGAACTCCAGCATATTGAATCAAAGACCAAAGCTTCGAATCAAAGACCAAAGTCCTGAATCAAACACCAAAGTCACTTTATTAAGTATCAGATAAAACTTATATATGATACTCTTCCAAATGTAATACTTTATTTGTCTAAAGAAATGGGAAGCACTGTTACTGAATAAACCAGTAATCTAAAGGCTTATACTAAAGCTATCCAACCAGCTTCTTGGTCACGTAGCAGCCAGACAGTTGCTTTTACTCCTTGTCTGCTGA